TTAGCATGTGATTTGAAGTAATCAACACTTAATCAACGTACAGTATGAAAATTAAAGGGGTTATAAAAGGAGAATCACTATTAAAGACCACGATCAATGATAAAAATTGGCACCTTAATTGTATACATATTGTCGATGCGAAGAACACGGAGTTTTATTAATTAAAGTTGCTCGTCGTAAATATAAAAACTGAATGGCACAATATTGCGAGGGAGAGTCCTTAAGGAGAGGAATTCCTCTTTCAATTCATTTTGAGAGAACCTGGTTCTTCTTGGTTGATGGAATTATATTAAGCGGTGGTGAAACAAAAACACAAGAAAAAAAAAAGAAAAAGAAAAAGAAAAAGAAAGAACGAGAAGAAAAGAACGGGAAAAAAAGAGGGAAAAGGATGAAAGCTATTTTTATTTTTTATTTTTTTGGTTTAAAAACAAAATTCAAAAGTAATGTGAAATTCCAACTAACTATACGTAGAGTAAGCAGAGTTGTTAGTAAAGTCAAATTGGTTTACAGTGGTTAACCAACAAGAAGCACATGAAATAAACAAGAAGATGGTGAACTATCTATTATATGGTCCTATTTTTAAATAAAGCAGGAAAAATGAAAAATACACACACATACAAATTTCTTCACTCTAACTTTGGGATCTTTATTATGGATCGCATGCTTTTTTTTTCTCCCAAACCTTACCTTAGCTTAACTTTCAGTCAAAAGTATGGAAGGAGATAGCAAGAGAGAAACGTATTTGTTTCATTTTAAGAAGATCAGCCTTCCGATATCCTTTCTCGGTTTGATTTTTGATTCGTGGTTTTGAAAAGAATATGATGCGACCAGGGCTTTCATTCTCTGCTTCTGAAATCATTACAAGCTCCCTTGAGTTCCTTGCTAGATTATTCATCTACTTTCCCGGTATGCCTGCCAAAATCTATCCTCTCGGCTAAAATAGCCGCTCCATGGAAGCTGATCGACGTAAAATTCAGGCGGATCTGAAGGAGAACTTGAAGCTACCATTGAAGGGTCAAGGTGATCAAGACTGGGACAACACTCTTCCTTTGGTCAGAGAGTATCAACCTCCGTGGTGTTCTTTCATGTCTATATAAACTTGTAACAATCTTGGTCGACGTTTTCGACTGAGCCAGCAGTAATGTCATTGTTGGAGAACTCTGGCATGGGGTTTTCTCTTTTCATTGAAATTAATACTAATCCACATTAATTAATTCCTAGATGCTTCGCCCAAGCAGATGCCCGGGCGCCCCCTCTATTTTAATTTTGTGTTAATTATAAATGAATTTTTGATTTGGAAAAAATAAAATAGCTACACATTTATTTTTCCCTTTTTTAGCCAAAAATAAAAATAAAAATAAAAAATCATCTGCAAAAGGAGAAAAAATATTGAAAAGTACATTGATGCAGAAATCATACAAAAGAATGTGGAGTAATAAAAGGATAAGTTTATGGACAAATTTAAATCCTATCTTAATTTGATTGATAAATGATAAGTGTTAGGAGTTAAAATTGTGTAGCTATTTTTGTAAATTAGTTTTTGTTTTTCCGGATAAGACGTTTTTTTTCTTTTAAAAAGGAATGACACGTGGTAGAATGGTTAAACCAATATGGTGCATTTGGAGCCAAAATTTTTTAATAAGAAGTTGCCACATCAGCATCCTGTATTCTGCTTTAATAGGATAAAAGGGATTTGTAAAAAGACTCATTGAAATAAATGACGTCAATGAAGTACTCCTCTATCTCAAAAAAATTTAAAAAATAAAAATTACTCAACATTGTAATTTGAAAATTGTACATCACAATCACAAATTCCAAAACTTAATCAATCCATTAATAACAAGGCTCTTGCATGGAGGGATTGCAAGAAGAGAAATGTTTGAGTGGTTCCAGAAGTAGACTATTTATGTATTTTCTCAACTTATAGATGTATACATATAGCGAGGGGAAAGTGTTCAGAACGAACCATCTCAAAAGTGAAAGCTGTTTATGACTCAAGACATCAAATTTGAGAGTAAATTATCAAATGGTATGGTTTCTGTGTGAATCCTTTCTATGATCAATGTTATGCTACATAACTAGGTAGTGAGAACAGAAGTTGATTGCGCAAATGCATTCAAAACTAATTTGAAATCTGTTATCAGGATGTGGTTCTCTGCTTTGGATTCGAGAGTTCTCTGTTTTGTTCTGTTTCAAATCCATTGCACATTACTCTTCTCTCTATTTTTTTTTCTTTTTTTTTTTTTGGTACAATTAATCTGTTCTTTTATATCAACTGAAATAGGGATGCAGATGATGTCCAAAGGACCCTAAAATTTTCTTCTCAGTGAACAGAATCTGGTAAATATTTCATGATTCATACATGTAGTTGCCGTGATATTACTTTCTGTGTTTTTTTTTTTTTTTCTTTTTTGGGCTAAAAGAGACTCATTCAAGTACTGAAGTTCATTGATCTAGAAATCTTTGACCGTAAAACCTTAGTGGCAGCCTATGACTCTCTTGACAGTTCACCACAATCAAATTTTTGCCTGTATAAGACTAGCCAATATGCGTGATGATTTAATGTACAATTGACTCAAGTTAACCAACTCAGAATGAGACAAATAGAATCAAAGATTCTAGCATAACTTTTTCCTATAATCAACAAAATATCAGGTCAAGAGATGACCAATTTTCCCTATAAAAGAGACTGGTTTGAACTGTTAATTAGATAGATGGTGATCTAGTTATAAGTTATTTGTCACAATGCTGTAATGCGATTCAGCAACATGTTCATTAGCCAACATCCCGAAAAAAAAGTAATAAATAAAGACAATGTTTCTAGGTATATATATATATATATATATATATATATATGGCTCTGATATACTCATCAATATGATCAAAGACTCTTGCTATTCTATGTCGCCAACCACTACCTTCCTTTTTCTCTGTTGGATCTGGGATTCATGTTTTGATGTAAATGTACTTAGATTACAGTTTTTGCTCTTCCTTTCCGAAATTGGTACAATTAGCTCTCCTGAGTTCCTTGCTACGTTATCCATCTACTCCAATGCAGTTAGCCCATGGATTCCCTCTTGTTGCGGTGGGAGTGAATGCCCAAGTTTCTCCGAGACAATTGCTGACTCAGAATTCCAAACCCTCTTCACCGAATGGCCGCTGTGGAGGACACCTTTTACGACAACGCAGATAATGAAGGAATCATTGACAAGGTTCGGGCATCATAATGTCTAATCGCGCGGACAATAATTTCATTGTAAGCCTAGAGGATTAAGAAGCATGATTCCAGTGTAGTAATTTATATAAATCATGGTTTAGTAATTTATATAAATCATGGTTTCAATGATAGTAATAGATCAAATTTTTATGAGCAAATTTTCAATTTCGATGGTCGTCTTTTTGTTCCATTTACGTTCCGTTTTTCTTGTTTTTTTTACAAAACAATTCCTTTTCATTTTTGACAGAACAATATTGTGTTAACAAAACTTTGGACTGAAATTAACCATTTCTTAAAGAGTGTTGCCCTCCATTGATTCATATGCAGTAATGGTCCTGGCAACAATCTAACCGTTCCATCAACATTTCCGAAATCTACAACGAGTACTTACGCATTTGTAGAATAGATGTAAACTGTTGCTCCAAAAAACGTGCTTTCCAACCAATTTGTTCGATCTCCAGAGTTGATCTTTAGTGATAATCCAAGCAGTGAAGCTACGTTTAGGTTATTTATGCTTACTCCATACAATTGCTAAATTTCTATCCACTTGCCCATTCAGCCCATTTACAACGCCACGCCAACGGGCGAATATACGCATTCTAATGACGACTAGTTGGTTCTCTCCGTTTTTCTCAGCTACTCGGAAAATGCATAACATCAAGAATCGGCCGCAAAGAATCATCATCGTCACTTCATTATTCGTTGGTAGCCGTTTATTGGTTCAGAGTTTCTGGTTTTGACATTTCCTTGATCATCATGAGTGTTCTCTAGTGCCTAAAAGAGCTGCATTCCGAGCTTTAGGCCCTTTCAGGTTTAGTCCACCAAATTTCTCAGATCCACAAACCTCATCCCTAGCTACCAATTGATAGGATCTTCATGAATCTAAGGAATTTTCTGCAAACTCTAGAGACTTGCACAATTATGCTCTTTGGCAGCACAGAGTTGGAAAGTTGTGCCCTACAGGGATGAACACTAGAGACTACAACTACTAAGCACAAATATTAATCACAACATAACGTTCATAGAAATCTTCCATTGTAATTGAAGTAACAACTCTGTTCTAAAAGAATAGTTCATATGAATTCTAAGATTTGAAGTAAAAAAAATATATAAATATCAAAATTTGACGTAGGCTATTTTTTTGACATAGACGTAGAAGTATTTAAGAACTTCTAATTTTCCGACATGATATCATTTCTACTTTTTTAGACATAAAAGATGAAACCTAAAAGAAGAAAAGAAAGAATACGTAATCATCAAATGTAATGGTTCATTTTGTCACTAGTAGTGTTATATACATACGCCTAGAAAGGTGTGTATAATTTAATTTATTAATTTTCATATGTGAAAATAAAAATAAATAGACTTTATGGAACAGGTTTGTAAACCTCATTCCTGTTATTGATGGATTCCTTTTGCATCAATAAAGGTTTGCGAAAAGAATTGTGTTTGTGAAGCGGTTTGAAGAAGTAAATCAATAATATACTATGAAAATTTTCAAACAGCGACGAAAATCCAATAATCTTTAAAGAGATATGCTTGAAATTTTAGGGAACAAAAAACGATCAGAAATAGGAAAGTTTAGCATTAAAGAAATAGCGTAAACCCGACGAATGTAAAATTAGGAAACAAACGAACATAACCTGGAAGCCTTATTCCTAGTACGAATCGGAAACTAATTCCAACTTGGAAATTGGAAACTTACGATCATAAATTATATGTATGATGATCATGAAGCACAATTTCTCTCTCATTGTTCTTTGTTTTTGGTCTTAAGAAGAAGATGGCTGCAAAATCTTCGAGTAAGAAGAAGATGTCTGCTGCTGCTGCTGCGGAGAATTTGGAGGTTAATGAGATTCTCAGTCACAAATTGACCTGGAGTGGCAAACAATTTTTCAAGGACTTAGGGATTTTCTCGGCCGGAGAGTTAGACATTTCTCCGGCGTGGCAATTGAGAAGGGAACTCCAGAACACGGCCATCGATAACCCGAACCCTGATCAGGAGACTACAACTCTGGGGAAATCTTCATATACTAATTCTCCGTGCAATGATCATGATGTTGATGAGATCTCAAGGAAGGTTGGAACATTGGCTGAATCTATTTCTGTTTCTAAGAAAGGAGTTGAAGAAATGCCTGTAGAGACAAGGAAAGTTAATCGGACATCGGGGAAATTGGGTCCGAAGAATAAGAAACAAGAAAAGAACAGACCGAGAAGATTGAGAGTGTTGCGGAAGGAATTTGTTAAAGAAAGAAAGTTTCTATACAGCAATAATAAAGAGAAAGAAACAGAGGATGATGATATTAAGAACATATCTTCAATTACGTCAAGTGGAAAGCGAAAAATTTGCAGTATTATGACGAATTCCCCTGTAGATGAAGATTTCAGGGCTTCAAAGAAGGCAAATATAGATCCATTATGAAAGAGAGGTTGAAGGAGAAGAACATGGGGGCCATTATTAAATCCAAACAATGTTGCGGAGTAATTGGATCATCATCTATTATGACTAATTCCCCTGAAGATGCAGATTTCAGGGTGTCAAAGAAGACTGCTCCCATGGCAACTCAGAAAAGCAGACAGCCGAAGACGGAGGAGAAGATCGAAATGATTAAAACTCTTTTGATGAAAACCGAAGGAAACCCGAATCCGATTATTACACAATTATGTAGATCAGTTGAATCATCTTTTGTTTCTTCTCGCAAAGAATCAAGCGCGAAACCTCTCACAGCTGCAGCTCTAAAAAAGCCGCCCAGAAGAGATGATCCAAAGAAATTAGTACAAGAAGAAGAAAACCTTCCAAAAAAAGTGGAACAATAAGATCCAAAGGAAGCAGCAGAAACGAGAAAAGAATGAGAAGCTTCGAGAAGAGCCTTGGTGTTAATGGAGAGAACGGTCCAGGTTGAAGATAATTTTAAGCTCATGGCCGACTTTGAGACGCTGACGGGTTGCAGCGTATACAAGGGATTTGGACCCGAAATGGGTCTAAGACAACTTCAAACTGGAAAAGTTTTTCGCCCTTTGTATTTTCTCCACGTTGTGATGAAACAGGAATTCAAAGGGTGGGATGACTACTATTCGGCTGAATCAAGTTGCAGCAGCTGCATCACTGACGAAGTTGAAGAAGGAGAAATATTTTAAGCAGTTGCTGTAACACATTTTGATTTGTTTCAATGATGTACTAATATCAGTTTGAGGGTTAATTATTCAAGGTGTTTTGCCTTATGTCATGTATTCCGTTTAAGGTTTACAATTATGTTCTCTTAATTCCATGTTGAGTTCAAGAATTATCCTAAATCGGGGATTACAGACTTTATAGTGAAATGAGCACAGAGGGGTATAATCATTTCATAAACATAGAAATATTGCTTCAGAAGTTGTGCAGATCAGCAATAACTAACATCATAAAGGATGTCATCATTACAAATTAGCAAGTAACAGAGTTTCCATTCACTCCGGCACCCGGAAAAAGATTAATCAGAACTGTAACTTTTAAGGAACATGTCCTACAGTCCTGCAATTGACTTCTATTATGTCACTTCATCTGTGATAGCTCGCTGAGCTACAAAATAAGTATCGCCTCTCGCCTGGACCATTTAGTCTTCATACCTTGCAAGCGCGCTAATTACTCTGTAATAAGTCATAATATAGCTAGTAGGAACTTCAAAATAGAGAAAGATGTAGCAAAAAAGGAGTGAAAAATGTGTTCTAAATGGTTACATAATCAACAAGACTAAAAGCAAGCAATAGGTCTAAATGCCAGCAACCTCTAACGATCTTCTGCCTGCACAGCAAGACACGACTCATCTCGCCAAGGAAAGAAATCTTCTGGCAGGAGCGTCAGATTCTGTAACCAGAAGAAAAACCCGCGTAACAAGTTCAACTCTTTGTGACAATCAGCTGCCTCAAGCTTCTTTCGAAGACCAGGGTAGTGATCAAGGTATGATTTCCCATTTCTATCAGTTGAATACGACTTTTCCCTCCCATAGCGCAAGTCCAAGTTGCGCCTGATTGGTTTGGTAGCTTTTATGTCTCGCGAAAGTCTCCTGTGCTCCATCTTGTCAAATGGTTTTCTTAAAATCTCCATCAATTTTTCTCTGAATTGAGAATCTATTCTCCCACTTACATTTACTTCTCCACTTGGAGTCTCGAGGCGGATGCAGTAGTCATCATCGTCATCGTCATGGACAATATTATTATCCTTATCCTCAGAAGTTTCAAACTCTCCTGATCCATTGGTGATTTTTGTTGAATTTCTCACATTATTCTCCTCCATAGGAGAAGACGTGTAGTTGTTTAGATTATCGGGATCTTCATCATCTAACTCCATGCCTCTCTCAACCACTATTACCTTCTCCTTCTGCTTCTTACAAAGACTACCAACAACAATCTCGTCTGGACTGCAAATATTTGACCCAACATCTTCAACATTTTCGACAATCACATCCATAGTTTCCCTCCTGATATCATCATCAGGAACCTCTTCCAAGATGTGATTTTTTGGTAATCCATTCCTTTCATCAGCTTCAACAACCCATACATTCCCATCTTGCTTAAGGCTGTTCAAGAAAATTTCATAATGTGGGTCAACATTCTCCTCGGTATCAGCATTTGTTCCTTGAACATAGTTTTCCCCCATCAACTATAACCCATATTCAGGATCCATAGACTTGGGCACTCTGCGAAATTGATGAAGTCGACGCAGTAGAGTAATTGGGGAAAACTGCAAGATTTCTGCTGTCCTCCTGCGAATTGTTTAACAGATTGAGCTATACAATTGACCTAGCAAAACCATTGATATTGTCATTATATTAGGAAAAGAAAATCAAATTGTAGCCAAAAACAAGAAAGAAAAGGAAAAGAAAACCAAAAGACATCTACAAAGTCCCAACAAGTTTCGGTTTGACGTGTACTAGGACTGTAGGACATATGATATGCACCATCAGTGAATCTTTTCTTCAAAATAGCAACTATAAATGATAGATAGTATTTTATTCCTGAAACCTAAGCGTATACTTTCAAAACTAATTAATTAATCACTAGCTATTCACCCAGAATAATGTTATAATAAAAGATTCTATTGAACATACCTGTCGACCTCAAAAAACAGCAACGGCGGTGTTTGATTTCGGGTGTCGATTCCAAGGAATTATATTCAAGCGGAAACGGAAACCCTAAGTGAATGGTTTTGATTTGGTAATATACCTTCTTGCTGGAGTGATGAGAACTAAGCCAAGTTTAGTTTGATTACACAACCGAGAAGAATGATTGATGTATCGATGTTATTGAATGTTTTTTTGGAAATAATTTCATGTTGATGCGTCAATCTACATTAAGGAATTTAACTTAAAAAATAATAAAAAAACATTAAGAGAGGTTATGAAAAAAGTTTTACGAAGAAAAGAAAAAAAAAAAAGATTGTTTTCTCAGGCTCAAACTTCTACAACTGAACATTTAAGAAAAACAGACTTATGAAAAAGTCTAAGAACTAAATTAGTACATTGTGCGAGCCGCTTAATAATACCGAAGATAGATCATCCAAGATCTGAGATCTCCCTGATACCGTTGTATACTTGTATTCCATAGGCCAAGAAATTTGCTTCGAAAATCAGTTCTGACTATCGAAGTCCTCAATGCCCGCTCCCCCAAGGATTCCATAAACGCTTAACGATTAAATTAGACTTCCTCTTCCTGAAATGATTGTCCATATTAGATTTTTTTTTTTTTAGTACGAATTATACTAAATATAAAATTCTAACAGAGAGAGCATTAGATTATGTTTTCAATTTTTTCCAAACTCAAAGTCAAGTTTATTTTATTAAATTAAATTACTTCAATGAACATAACACTAAAATAGATTATGTACTCAGCTCTTCAATCCGGATGTAAATTAATTGTATTCATTTGGAAATTGGAATGGAGGTAGAGGGGACTAGTAGCTAACTTTTCTTTTCTGTATGTACTATATAGTATGCTATAATATGTACATCTTTTAAATAGAACTCTGTTGAGAACATAGGAAATATGCAACTACACTTTTGATCTTCAGTTCTATATCCACCTCATAGAGTGATAAAATTAATTTATTAATTATCAAGTACAGTTTTTATCATGAACAATAATTTTTATCTAATAATATAGACATGCCTATAAATATGTGTCTACCATTTATTTTATAATCAAGTCAGTCACAATGTAGCCATTCAATTCATCTCCCGTTGATTTATTTTATTTTCTTTAATTTCTCATTTTTCCGCTTGGTATCAGAGCAGGTTCTTTCCTGCTTCTGTTTTTGTTGTCTTCAAAAATAAATCATGATTTCATGCTTCCGCTTATCATTTTTTTAATTTGTTTTGTCATCTTAAAAAATAAATCATGATAAAAAATTTGGAATTAGCATATGTGTATGCTTAAATTCCAAATTCATCCCAAATCACTGTCTTGCCTTTTTTCTCCACTATTAATCCAATAATTTCTCTCAAAAATATCCACAGTCTTCAAAAGAATCTATCACATATCAATCCCATTAAACTCACAATTTTTATCTTCATTAACCACAAGTTTTATCCTTTTTTTCACAAATCAACTTCAGTTGATTCATAAATTTCAGTTTCTGAGAAAGAGGAAAGAAACCAACAAGTCAATCCACAAAAATTTCCATTATGGCAAAAATCTGATTCTCTCAGTAGAAGGGTTTTGATGACTTGTCATACAATAGTCAATCCACAAAAATTCTCATTATTGTAAAAGTCTGATCTTCTCTCAAAAGAAGAGTTTTTGACTTGTCATACCACAATCTAACAAAGCAACAAAAATTTCAAGCAAATTGTCCAAAAAATTGTCAGAATCACTCAAGACAGAGAATCGATGGTGGTCTACAAGTTTTTCACTGCTACTGAAAGCCATCAACACAATCAAAGCAAACTGAGTCTCCAGTTTCGACTCGGTTCGAGGGAAGATATTAAAGATAATCATCAAAAGTAGTAGAGTTGGGCTCTATTTTAGTGATAAGATTCTACTTTAGTGACAATTTCTATAGAGTGATAGAATTAATTTATTAATTATCAAGTATAGTTTTTCTCACGAACAATAATTTTTATCCAATAATATAGATATGTCTATAAATATTTGTCTACCATTTATTTTGTAATCAATTCCGTCACAATGTAGCCATTCAATTTATCTCCCATTGATTTATTTTATTGTTCTTCAAATTATCATTTTCTTCTGTGCGATTCAAACATCTGAACTTCACTAGTTTGGGACGGTACAACATTCAGGATAGTGGGAATATCAGTATTGTTGTCCGTAGTTTCAGGGCTCTCCCTTGTTGCTGGCAACTCATTTGTGCTATTTTCGCCAGAGTTCCTAGCAGCTTGATCAGTAGATTGAACTTCCACATTATGGTTTCGAAATCCATGAAAATGTCATACTGTGGTTGTGATACTCTACTCGACTGAGGTTGTTGCACAGAAAAGTGCTAAGATTGCAGCGAGAATGACAATGATCGATGAAGAGCCCTCCAAAATTATAAGCTGTTAGGCTTGGATTCTCTTGGTTAATTGAGTCTAGATCAGAAGGATATCTTGGTCCAAAATTCTTTTGCTCAATTCCCGCCATGGCTGAATTTTGTGTTACATTAAGTCTTGCCTTGGAGAAGTAGATAACCAGTGGAGATCCCATTGGAAATGCCTGATTAATAATCAACAAAAAAATACGAAAACGCTAAATTTACATGAAAATTTCTAAGATGCCAAAAGGGATTTTATAAGAGAAAGAGGAAACTCACGAATCCAAAGCCATCTGTTTTGTGTGTCGGCCCAACTATCCTGTATTGCGTGTTGGTGGAAATATGGGTAGTATTCGCAAAGGCAAGGAAAAACGGAAGAAGAGGAAATTCGAGGCTCGTGAAAACACGATCTCCTTAAAACAGATTTGCCCCCACCTATGGTGCTTGAGGATCTCGAGCAACTGTTTCCCAGGATACAACGGAAACGTAGAGACTACTTAGCACAAAGAAATTCTACCAGCGAACGAAACTTAGAACACGATGATGAACACCGAAACCAAAAAGAGAAAGAAAGAAAGACTCGAAAGAATACTAAAAGAGGAGGAAGGATTGGTGTGTTGAACTTTGGAAAATGAGTGCCTATTTATAGACTGGAGAAGAACCTTGAGCTGCTGAAAAATTCAAACGGTTTTATTTACCATTAAAGTGCACTTCAATTCGCAGATTTATGGCCTAGAAAACGTTCCAATGTTTCATGCATTCAGACCACCTTATTCTTCTCATTCAAGGCTGAAACAGTCAAATAATTCTGGCCTTTTAAATTCAAATGAACCTGAAAACGTTTTTTTTATTCAAAAGAATTAAAACCAGCAATTTATTAGACGTTACATATCCTCTTCTCCATTTTGACTGGAAAAATTTAATTCGAACCGGAGCAAAACATAGGTTGATCAGGCCCCCGAGAGTTCGGTTCGGCATTCGTGCGCACACATGAGTCAGGCTATTTTGGCCCCGAATCAGACCTCCATTTGCACCCCCCCTGCACGGGCGCAGGTGAGCAGGAGAGATGTGGTATAGTATTGATAAGTCAACTTGCAAGTCAATTTTGGGCTCTTACTTATAAAGTGAGCTCCAACTCTTCCCAACACCCATGTGGGACAAAGTCCTTTAACCTTAACTCTAATTTTCCAACTCTTGAGAAACTTAATTCTCATTCACTCTTTTCCAACATTGAGAACCGTATCTATTGGGTACAACATAAGGGATTTCTGCATAAATTGCATCAATGCCACCCTTTTTACTTCCTAGACTCATTGCATCATGGTACTCTTGGATTGTTGTGTAGTTCTTCAGCTTAGACTCAGTCAAGTTCAGTTCATAGACCAAGAAGTCTCTTACAAAAGAAGCAGTCTGGTATCCTACTTTAAAATCCGTTGAAAATACAAAGTTCAATTGATCAACAGTGAAAATTGCAGACAGTTTCGCTGTGGAACTCTGCATCAATATGTATGCCACGAAAAGCCATACAACCAACACGAACCTCGACCGCTTGTTAGGCACCATATTTCCTGTTGAGAAGGGCAAAGTACCAGAGCATATACGACATGAAAAATGGTTTAATTTCAGGGAAAACAGGTACATAGACGAAAGATAACAAAGTAAAACATTAAGAAAAGAACATGGATAATCTAACAGCACATATGATTAACAAAGATCAGTAAAAAAACCTTGTCCTGGATTTCCTGGATAATTTTCAGCATATGATTAAAAGAAGACCAATACAAATTGGTTTTCAAAATTCATGATGAAACTCAACTATCTATTCTTGATTCAACAACTCACGGATCCCCCCTCACCAAACTAGCATTATCTCAAACAATTTCCGTTTTTTTTTTTTTTTTCACAAAGGAAGCATTATGTCTGACAGAAAATTAAATTAAAATATTCTTACTGTAGGAGGAGACAACAAATTCAAACAATTTCCTAACCACACTTGACCTTGTTGATAACATTCCTTGTTGATAAATGTGCATTCAAATTTCAAAATTTAACCTGTATTATTTTTTTTTCCCGAAAAAAAGGGACATAATTAGCCACAATATATCAGTCACCCAGTGGTAAAGAGAAATGTTGAGACATGTGCAGCAATTAGACAGTCACTAGTTACGACATGATGAATTACCGTCTGACCATGAGAGTTGCTCCACAAAGGTCACAATTATCAGCCACGTGACGGGTGACAACGTTCCTCATTCGAACAAACCAAAGGAAGTGCTCCAGTTGGTGAGAGGGCCAACCCCATTTCCACCAAATCACTTTCCATAACGTCCGATCACATATTTTCCTTTTTAGTGTCGCAGTCGCTCAACAAAAAATTGTTCATAGTCATTTTCACCTTACAGTCATACCTTCTTTTAAAAAAATATTTTTAAGACCTTATATAGCCTATTATGTTTCTTTCTCTCCTTATATAACGGGCTACATATATATACAACACTATGCAGTATGCAATTTTAAATATGGAGAAACAAATTCTAGGTATCCTTTCTCTTAGTACCTAGTAGTCTAATTAGGACACCTTCCCCCACGCGCCAAGCAATTGATGATGAAATGGAAACAAGTTACGGCTTTTTTTTGTTTCGAAATAAAAAACTATATTATATCACTTTAATTACTTGAAATAAGTTAAGACTTAAGATGGCAAAATAATATGCGTACGCTTAATTAATTGACTACTGGCATCGACCGGACATTAAACAAGGTACACAGACATAACGTCAATACTAATTTATCAACCACACAGAAATTTCTATCTTTGAAGAAAGTAACAGCATTCTAAAACCTCACATTTAGTTAGTGCGCTAACCTTTTTACTCAACAATCTAAAACAGCGGCAAGCGGCCCTTTCCATTATTTCATTATTCATTCTCTGATCCGATCATGTGATTTGATTAATCCAATATTCGTTATCATAATTAATAAACAAATGAAAATTAGACTTTGAAATAGTAATGACGGAAATAATGAAATGATACACATAAACACAAAACACAATTATAAACTTTAAAAACTTAAAAAGTTTACAATGTAATTATTCACCCTAGAACATGATGAAATACTGCTTACTTCCAGTAGTAATTAAAAACACGAATTTAACACGAAAATACGTAAGGTAAAACTTAATGGTGGGATCATTCAGTAATGGAAAACATAGACATTGTATTCCACAATAGCATCACCAGTCTTGAGATCAAACATAATAGTCTTGGCCAAAGCGTAGCCTCTAGCCAACCGGAAGACTCCACTACCTCCGACCACTGGCATTTCCCTCACCGTATCGAACACCGAGTTCTTACCCAAAATACTCAACGTGCTCCCATTATACATGCCTTCCACAAACACATAGTTCAAAGCCATCAAGTAGGAAAAATCCTCTTGGGAAGACGCAGCGTAAATCCCCTGAGCTCTTCCCACCAGCTTGGACCCGATGTCGGGGCCTTCCGTCAAGGGATCGTCCATCATCACCACCGCGCCATAACCCGTCCGGGAGGAGTTGGTGGTGGGGGCCGCCGCCACGCGTATGGCCGACGGGTGAGGACCGCTGACGATGTCGTGGAAGTAGAAGTGCAAGTGGCTGAGCTTCTCTTTCTTGTTTTCCAAACCTATATCGGCTTTTGATAGAGTTCTTGAGAAAGGCTGGGAATGGGTGAAGGCGGCGGATGATAGGAGGACGAGGAGGAGGAAGACCATGGCGGTGGCCATGGTGGATTATTTAGTTTTGTCTCTCTGAATGGAAGTTGGAACTTGGAAGGGTTTGTTTTCAAGTTTATTGTTGGGTTGAACTAATAGTACTACTGGAAGAATAAGTAGTATGAGAAATAGGGAGCAAATGTAATGTGGTGTGTAATCATGTGTTGTGTAGCAGCTTTATGGAATCACACGGCTTCATTTCTTTTCTTGTTAGAATTCCACATTAAAATGGAGACATTTGTAGTTCAAGTAGAGATCAATTAATGTACTCTTTCCAGTACTTAATATAAAATATTTTGATTTGTTATAGATTTCACCTAATACATATTTTTAATTGACAAAAAAGCTTTAAAAATATTTCATGACAATCAAGAGAATACAACAAATGTAAAAATATATTTTTAAAGTTTTTTTTGGTCAATTAAAATATATACTAAGTGAAACTTATAATAAATCAAAATTTTTTATTTTAAAGATCGGAGAGAGTATATCGCTAATATGTGTTGTTTGTTGGCAGGAGTAATAATTCTATACTACATGTATATATCCGGTTGAAAGCTTAAATTGATTCTAACTCAGGTTAGTTTCATTTTAGTCTCACATAGTACGTATACATTCTTTTAAGTTCGTTGTTCTTTTAATTTTATTTAGATTTCGAGAATTATCGAATAAAAAAATTCTGCAGTCTTAAAAGAGGAATTGGTTAGTTTTTGGAGAACGCTGTCACTGGAGTACTATTTAGCATCCATGTTATTTGGAGGACTTGTCGTCATTGTGAAATCATTGATTCGGGAATAAAGTTCATAATTAGCATAAACGGCTATTAACGATTTGATAATACACATAGAAATAGTGCATCCCTTCGATGTTTTGGTTGAACTATTTATCTCACATTGTTGTCCGGAGATAATTTATATCAGTATATAAGCACCATTAGCCACTCCCCTCATTGTTAATTGGTTTTGAGCTATAAAGTCATAAACTTCTATATGGTATCAAAGCGGGCTCGGCCTGTAGTGATTTTAAGCCTACGATATTATTCTGTGGCCCAATTTGTTTTCGCAACGTTATTCCACGGTTTATGTCCTGATACCCGTTGGGCTTGAGGGGAAGTGTTGAAGTCAGGGGCGGAGCCAAGTCCTGAACACTAGGTGGGGCAAAAAATATAACGCCTAAAAAATGTTAGTCATCAAAAAATTATACTCTGTTTCACAAAATAGTCTGCATAATAAATAATAAATACATTATAAATGATAAATTATTTTCCTGGGACGAAGGGTATGATAAAGTTCTTAAAAATTTTATCTAAACAACTCATGTTTTCTTCACAAATGTGGTGGGCAAATTTTAATTTGTCACCAATAATTACAAACTAACAATGGCATGGGAATTAAGGGTTTTTTTTTTTTCAAAGAAAAGAGTTAGATTCTCCACAAAAAAAAAAAAATTTAAAAAAAAAGAGAAAGGAGATTTGTTTGTTTGAAAGTTGAAACCTTTAGTGAAAAATATGAGTTAAAGGTATGTGTGTGTAGGAAGATGGAAATGCAAGTGAAAAAATATTTACAAAAATGGAGAAATTAATTTTGAAGTTAAATTTGGAATTTTTTTTTAAAAAAAAGTATTTGTTTGCTTTTAAGTGTAACTGCATTGCCTCATTGACCATTAATTAACACATTTAATGAAAGTCAACTCTCAATGAATAATTTTTTCCTTTACTTTGTAGTTTTTATTTATGCTCCTTGGCTTTTGAATTTTTACTGGGGCAAAAATGAAAAATACCAACAAGTTTGGATAAATATAGACATAAATCAAGAGTAATAAAGAAAAATCCAGCTGGGGCAATTGCCACATCTGCCTTCTACTTGGCTCCGCCCTTGGTTGAAGTATTTCTCCTATATTGGTGTTATATATAACTCATTATTGTTATACGTCTTTCTTAAAATCTTCATCAACTTTTTTTTTTCTGAATTGCGCACCTCCTTCTACGCTCAAAACTCTCCATCAATTTGTACACCATCAAACTTCAACACTTGTTAGCCACCATTTACCATTATCTATAGTACTTAATTAAAGCAGCAAACAAAAAGGACATATGTCAGCTCCATGACGAAAATTTTCCCGCCAAACAGCATTTTCAGTACAAAATGATTTCTGACACGTGGCACACTCAATGGGCAGGGAAAAAATGGCCTTCTAAAAAAACTCACTTATTAAACCAAAAATAAAATAATCAGTTAAAATTTTAAAAGAGATAATAATCCGTCCCTAAAATTGAGTTAAACGTGTTTCAGTGTTATTCGTGGACCCTGAATCAGGATAATATTTGTTAAATAAAAACCCTAATTTCTTGCTACTCTCAAAATCAGTACATGCTAATCTTAAGCAATCAATCACAATCCCATTTTCAATTTCGAACACACAGTCTGAAATCAATTATGAATCCATTGCTTCTTATTTTCTTTTTCTCCTCCGCCGCTTCATCATTGAAAATCTTTTTGATTATGTGTAGGATGGTCAGCTCATCATCAATGATATCGTCCAACGGGTCAGCCACGGCAGCGGCATAATCATGAATATCAGGAATAACAGCGTTGGCCAATTTGGTGTCTGTGGATCTGCTTATTAACCGACAACTGCAGGTTTTTTTTTTGTTGTTAAAATCAATCTTAATAAGTAGCCTCATGATGAATCATGATGAAAATAAATTGTTAGTTTTCGATACAGGGCATAAATTTGGAAACATGAGTCTACGGGTGATGACTAAGTTGGATTGCAGGTTTGCAAAAGGAATTACATGATGTTTTGAAACAGCTTCCGATGAATAACAACATGAAGCATGAATATAAATAGGGTGAGTTTAAAGATTATTCTGACAATATAAATTCTAAATATGCTTTTAAATGGGTTTTGTTATAATTATTTTAAATCATGTCCTTATAGTTTTTTAGTTTTTCTATTATGTTTTTATTGATAATTGTTCGAATTCATGTTACATCTCATGGGAAGAAAAAATCTAATAAAGGAAAAAAACAATTAATTAAGGAAGCCATTCATCGGCGTACTCACGGATAAAGATCCATTTTTTCCCATTACCATTCCTTTTATGTTAGATAAATTCTTTTTTAATGAAAAAACTGACTTGATTGTTTTAGGGGAAAAAAAAATATATCGGAATTTGGTTTGTTCTATAAAGTATATATCCAAGATAGTTTTCTATGATCTTTAGTGTTGTTATTCTTAGAACTCTCCGACCATCTGTGTGAGTTATAAAATGGAAAAAAGATCATAAAATTTCTATATTGTTCTGGAAACTTTGGAATAGTCTTGGGAAGAATGGTTATGCAACTTTGAGTTTGTTGTGATAACTTAAGACTCTCAAATAGTGCTAGTGAGTGAATTTGGTCAAGTTAAATGAAATCTTTCAATTGACATATATACATATAATGAATTGATCTGACACTAGCATGATTTTCAGGTTTTGCAAGCTGAGTACCTTTCATTGCAAAAGAAGTCGAAGAAATAGATCAAGATGATTGTTATTGCTATATAAAAATGGAAGACGTATACCTTTTTCTATATTTGTTGTATAAAAATTGAGTAATGAGTTGTAACGGGAAATTTGATTATATAATAAGACCTCATTATATATGTTTTGAAGTCGTTTCGGATTCTTGATAGCAATGTTAATGACATGGTTTCATTTATGTAGTGAGGAATACGAGGGATTGTAGCCTTTTTCCCTTATGTGTAAATTAGTTTTTTTAATTATTTTTTCATCTACATTATACAAAAATAATAATAATTGATCAAACAGTGTCATATAATGTCAAAAGGAAATATGTGAAGTCGCCCGGGCATCTGCCCGGGCCAAGCATCTACTATATATTAAATGAAAGAAAGATAATCGACACGTGTCGCTAATTGAGACCATCAAACATCACTTTTAACTTATTATTATTTTAGCCCTTAAAGTTCTATTTATGTGCTACTTTGTTTTCAATTTTATCGATTTTACATTTTCAAGGACGATTAATTGTGTCTAATCCCCAAGTCCCCTTGCCTATAAATAAGCCATAGGAATCTAGACATAATTTACGTATTTTTTAATATATTTTTTAATCCAAACATAACATTAGTTAGTGGTGACAATTTTTATTATACAACTTTTCAAAATTTTTGTTGTAATATTTTTTGCCAGATCTTACAAATATACATCTCATAAATAACATCAATACCTCTCATTTTGATCTAAAATTGATTAATCAAAAAAATTTTACGGTTTTAAGAAATATTAATAATTACATTATATAATTATTTCTTTTGAAAGATAAATTATTAACATTGACAAACTCGCGCAAAGTGTGGAACACATACTAGTACTTTAAAAAAGGAAAGATATGAATCACATTAATCATCTCCAATAAAACTGGTTAGGAGTGAAGATAAGAATGAGATTTAAAATTACATCCGTTACAAATGCCTTTATTTAGAAAGCACAAGTAGTAAACCGGCCGGGTTACATAGCATCCCATAAGTTGGATCCATGTAAAAATGAGACTTTTCTCCTATAAATTAAGTAGCAAAAGGCTTTTATTTCGAAAAGTTACGTACAAATGAAAATAATAATAATAATCCAAATTGAAATTGAAATTGTACTATGTCAAAGTATATAAGTATTTTGGGTTCACATCTCAAAACCAATTGGCAATGAGTGAGTTAGCTTTTAGAACTTATATATTGAGTCACTTCTCTTCATTCTGGCCATGTCGGACAGATAATAAATCTTATGTACAATTCACAATCTGCAATATGGATTTATCATTTTTCTGAGACTTGGTTGACAGTTCAAATACCCAACTCAAAATGTGACAAATATCGTGCCTAATATCAAGGTTTCAGCATGACTTTTCCCTGTAATCAACCAAATATCAGGTGGTGGGGATGATTTAATAAGGAAAAGTGGTTAACAATGTTATTTGTGTCACTGTTGCCACGATTTCAACTTTTTCTCATGAATTTTAGGCTTTTTAATTATGCGTGATTTAGGATCGTTTAGGTTCCATATACAAAGGATTTGCTCCGTTCCAACTTAGTCCACCACCAGTAAACACTACATATATATATATATATATATATATATATATATATATATATATAGCTAATAGCCCCAGCCCTCAACTTTCTTGACTTGCACCATTTCAATTTCCAAGCCCTGATTGAGTTGAAGACTGTGATGCATAATAAGCCCAAATATCCACTCAAATTAGTATGGAAGGAGATAGGAGGAGGAGAGGAGACAATTGGTTTGGTTGCAGGAAGAAATTTCCGTTTTCTCTGTTCGATATTGTTTTTCAGGTTTAAAATGAAGGATTTTCATTCTCTCTTCCAAAAATTGGTACAAAC